ACAGGAGGGCTGGGTTTCACATATGCCATGATTTATACCAGACAGTGAATGCTGAATGGTTTGATAGAGGGAAATCAAGACAGATAATAAGGAAGTTTGGACTCTTTCTTGTAAACCCTGCCTGGTACTGGATGGATTCATCAGACATGTGTCAGATGCTGAGTAGTAACCAAGGAAGGGGACAGGCGTTGTTTTCCTCCCTTGCTTAAGGCTACATTTGAATGACTCAGAAATAATTACACATGGAAAACATCCTAGAAAAGTTAATGCCAATCTGCTTGCCCACTCTTGTCCTTTCCCATGCTTTGGTATCTGCCCAGGTGACTTTAAAAGTTTTGCCATCCTTTGGAGTCCTAATGTTGCTGAATTTGGACACGGGGAAGGCTTGCGAGTCTTTGCAGAGCAGCTGGAAAATGGCAGGTTTCATCAGCTCGGCACAGTAAAAGGTTTTATTTAAAAGTTGTTGCTGTTCCGGGGATGGCTTAGCGTGAGTGTGGGCTCGGATAGCAGCCTGGTTTGGGTTGCTATGGCAGCGTTTCCTCTTGCTCAGCTGGCTTGTGAGCGGCTGGTAGTGCGAGGCAGAGGCTGTGTTCCTGCTGATCCAGTGGTGTGTACCACTTGCTGGTGGGGAGAAGGGTGGTGTGAGAAGGGATGAAGGAATCTCTCATTTTTTTCCTTTTATAGGGCACATGCAAGTGTGCGTCCCCCTCTCTGATGTGTGTGTGTGTATGTGTTGATGTGACTGACCTAACTAATCTCAAGGGTTATCAGAGGGCACATAGCTGCTTTGTGAGTTGTTATTTTAAAAAAATCCCAGGGCTAAACCCAACAGCTGTTTTTTTGCAATGATCAGAGAGGAACCACTTATGCAATGGAAACAGGATATATGTGTGTCAGTGTGCTGAAATACAAAACCTTGGCTTTGTTTCATAGAATCACAGAGTTGGAAGAGACCACAAGGGCCATCCAGTCCAACCCCCTGCAATGCAGGAACTCAAAATCAAAGCATCCCCGACAGATGGCCATCCAGCCTCTGTTTAAAGACCTCCAAAGAAGCAGACACCATCACTCTCCGAGGGAGTGTGTTCTACTGTCAAATAGCTCTCACTGCCAGGTAGTTCCTCCTAATGTTGAGGTGGAATCTCTTTTCCTGT